CCCCCACCCCCTGACTTTCTCGGGACCCTCCCCGGCCCCGGCCCTGGCGTCCGGCCTGACCCTCCTCTCCCTCCCCAGGTCTCTCTGCTGGCAGCGATCCTGGAGTTCCCCACGCAGCTGTGGCCTGACCCCACCGCAGCCGAGGCAGCGGTCTCTGCGCTGCTGGACACGCTGGCCCTCCTGCCCCCGCGGCCCGCGGCCCTCCGCCGGCCCCTGCTGCTGGCCGCCACTAGCGTCCTGGCGTCCTGCGGGGCCCTGGCTCCGGCGTCGGCAGCTACGTCCCGCCTGCTGTGCGTGCTGCTGCGGGCGGCCGCAGGCCGGGCCGCGGGCCCCGAGCAGCGAGCCGTGCGGGCCACCGCGTGCGAGTGCCTCCGGGAGCTGGAGAGCTGTCACCCAGGGCTGCTGGCCGGCCAGCTGGGGCTGCTGCGGGCCCTGCAGGACACCCTGGGTACCCAAGCCCACTGCCTGCTCTTTGTGCTAACTCTGCGCGACGCCCTCGGAGCCCTGGCCCGCGCGGGCCCCGGGGCCCCAGCGGGGCTGCACGGGCTGCTGGCGGCCAGAACCGACAGCCCCCGGGGTGGAGAGACCCAGGCCTGTGACCGGAGCCCGGACTCCCCGGGAGCCCAGTGGCCGGGGCCGTGGGACTGGAGCCTGGCCGGGGAGGACGTCCGGGATCCGGCAGCGCCTGTAGGCCGGGAAGGGGGCAGGCCAGAGCCCAGCGCTGGCCCCTTGGATCTCACCCCGCCCGAGGCCAGGGAGCTGCGGGCCGCGGTGTCCCAGCTGCTGGACGCCTCCTACCTGCTGACCCCGCCGGCCCAGGCCCAGATGCTGCAGCAGCTGAGCCAGGTGCTGAGGACCGTTCGCGGTCAGCCCCCTGCCCTCCTGAAGCCGCAGCTGGTGCGGCTGCTGGGCACAGCCAGGGTCTCCCTGCTGCACGCCGTGCTGGCCTCAAAGGATGCTTTCGGGGAGGCCCTCTTCACGGCCCAGGACGAAGCTCTGCTGCTCCGGAGGCTGGTGGGCGCTGCCCAGCACCCAGCCCTGCCGTCCCCTGCCCGCCTCTTCTGCCTCCACTGCCTCCTGCACTTCCCTGAGAACTGGCCCTTGGGGCCCGCCGGGGAGGAGGGCACCCCGGTTCTGCTCACACCCAGCCTGGCCACAGGTCTTCTGCCCAGTCTGCTGCAGGACCCCCCCGATCTCCTAGCCCGGCTTCATCTTCTGTGTCTCCTGTGCGGGGAGGAGCTCGGTGCCGACGGGCGCAGGGACTGCCAGGGCACAGAGGACCAGGTCCTGCTTTACCTCCAGGGGCTGCTGGCCAGCCTGAGGCAGGGGGCAGCTCAGCCAGGGGCCCCCCGGAGTTCAGTCACCCTCTGTTTCCGGGCCTCCTACCTGGCTACTCGCTGCTTAGCCAGTCACCCAGGGGCCCTGGCTCAGCTCACAAAGGGCCTGGCAGAGCTGTACCAAGCCCGGCCCTGCCTGGCCCCCCATTTTGTTGACCTTCTAGAGCAGGCAGGAGAGGTGCTGGCAGAGCCCCTGGGCAAAGCCCTGCAGCAGGTGGCAGTGGCTGGGGCCGGTGGGGCCCAAGCCCTTCAGTGGCATTTGCAGATTCTCACCAAGGTGGCTGGAGGCCAACCCTTGGGCCCCACACTGGGCTTCCTGTGGGCAGCCCTAGGCCAGGGTGGGGACTGGGCCTGGGAGCAGGCCCTTCTTGGGGCCTGCCGGGCCCTCCTAAGGGGGACAGACCTCAGTGGGGCCGGCCCCCGGAACCTGGCCAATCTGCTGCAGGAGCTGGCCCGGGGCCTGGATGACCCCGACAGCCGAGATCGGGGCCGTCTCTATTACAGCCTGTTTACCCACCTGTCGGGGTCCAAGCTGGGCTCAGCCCTGGGCCCCACACGCTCCACACCCATGCTGGGCTCTTCCCTGGTGGAGGAGAATGAGGGCTTTGCCTCAGCTCTGACTGTCCAGGAGGCCCAGGCCCCACTGCAGCTGAGGCGGGTTCCCCAGCAGGCCAAGGAGCCCCCCGTGATCCTGGGCCTCACAGTGGAAGCCTCTGAGATCCTCTACTCACTGGAGCTCCGCTTCCGCGTCCTGGGGCCACACTATGAGCCACTGGAGGCCGTGCAGGTCCCTTGCCTTCGCCCTGGTGCCTCCCCCAAGCTTCTGCTCCTTCCCCTGGAGCCCCGGCGTCCCTACCCGACCCTCCTGGACGTCAGCGTCCTCTACGCCACCCCCGGTGGCCTCACCTGCTACGCACAGCTGCCCAGCCTTCCCATAGCTTTTGCTGACCTCTTTCTGCCTTTGCCGCCACCTTCTCCAGAGGTGACCCACCCTCCGACCTTCCAGGAGCTCTGGGCCTCCTGCCTTCCTGGGGGAGCGGAGAGTTGCATGTGGGGCCCTTGGCAAGGTCAGGCACTAGAGACTCTGGTGACCAAGCATTGGGAGCCTTTTGTCATGTCTGCCACCCCCCCCACCAGTTACCGGGTGGCCATCCGGCTCCCCCCCAGCTCTCAGCTGTTGCTGCAACTGGAGGCTGCTGGGGAGGATGGGGTAAGGGTGGCCCTGAGGACTGATGATTGGGCCATACTGCCTCTGGCTGGGGAATATCTCCGAGGCTTGGGGGCTACTCTCTGAGGAGGGAGGGTGATCCTTGCTGGAAGACACTGGTTTGGGGAGGACAGGGGCAGGGCCAGGGGGAGGTTGGGACCCCTGCAGCTCATTCCCTCTGTTCATAAAGGCTTGCTTATTGGTGAAGAGTCCACAGTTTTGTTTTTTTTTTTCTCTACTAAAAGAGGGGTGGGTGTGGGGCTGACACAGTGTTGAGGGACCCAGCAGGCAAATGTTTACTGAGCGTTGAGTCTAGTAATCCTTCACTTAGGTGGCACAGCTGGCCATGTTTTAACAATCTCGGCTCTCTCGGAGATCACAGGAGCATAGGTTTGGAGCTGAAAGGGTTCGAGAGAGATGGTCTATTACAAGAAACACCCCGAGAGGGGAAGTGTCTTGCCCATTGTCACCCAGCTTCCAAGGCCATGCCCCCTTTCCATGACCTCATGCTGCCTCCCTAAATGTGGGAGTCAAGGGCAGGAGCACGGGATGAGGGAGAGCCCTAGTGGGCAGTCCTGAAGGGGAGCTTCCAGCCAGGAGGGCAGACCGCCCCCAAGCAGAGGAAAAGGATCCCCACAGCTCCGGTTTGCCCCAGGAAGGAAGCAGCTTTCCCCCACGTCCCACGGGAGAAGTCTCAGCAGCCTTCCCTGGGACCAGGCCTTGTGTGAACGGATGCCAAGTGAAGTGAGCAGAACCAGCGAACGATTTAGACGGTACCAGCATCGCAAAGGCAAACCGAGGAACGTTGGCCCCGGCAGACTCGGGACAAATCAGACTGCCCACTTGCTACGGGAGGGATACTTGGGGTGCAGAGGGGCCTTTTTTTTAACTTGGCCAACGGGATTATTTTCTTTGACAACGAATGTAACGTGCTGTGTTTTTCTTGCTTTCTCTGCGGATGGGAGAGAGAGAATTGCAACCGAAAATAAGTAAAATTGAATTTAAGGGAAAAAAAATGAAGCCACGCCTGATCGATCCTCCAGGTGCTTCGTGACCCCGTCCCCTTCTCAGGAAAGGCTGGGCCAGCAGGGCCTCGGGGGCTACAGTAAAAGCCCCAATCGGGCCTAGGCTTAGGAATCACGGGAGGCCTCGGAACTAGAGAAATTACAGGACGCTGCCCATAAAGCACCACAACCAGTTCCGTCTTCCCGTGAATTTCGGCCCGTGACGTCGGTGACGTCAGCGCGCCTGACTGCGGTGGACCACGGCTGCCATAGGGTCGCACGTAGAGCGCAAGCGCAGAGGCGGCGCGAAGCCTTCGGCGCGAGTTCCGAGTGCGTTTCCCGCAGCAGCGCACGCGCACAGGGAAGGGATGCCGGACGGCGCAGCCCCCGCGGTCCCTGGTCTCATCCGGCTGCAGCCGAGCTCCGTGCAAGCCGCGGCGCAGACGCTGCTGCACCTGCTGCCGTGCGAAATCCAGCACAACGGGCCCGCCGCCGTCAGTCGCTTTTTCAGCCCGGCCATTCGGCCGGGGCCCTCAGGTGCCAGGGGCATGCGCGGTGGGGCTGGGCGGGAAGGGACTACAATTCCCATCGGCCCGCGGAATAACGGGGAGGGGGTGGAGTGAGAGAGGCGCTTAGTAGACGTCATGCCTTCCATGTGCGCAGGCGCCACGAGGCCCACCCAGAATCGGAGTCAGGCTTGGCGTGGGCGGGGAAGTCCAGCCTGCTGTTTGTTCATTTGTCTGTCCCCTCAGACGAGGGGCGGGGCAGAGGAGGTGCAGAGACCGGCCCCTCCCTCCAAGGGGGGGTGGGGGGTGGGATGACGAATACCTGGTAGTCTCATTCGTTCACGAGTTCGTGCGCTTATTAAGCACCTGCTGTGTGCAGAGCCCTCCTGGAGCTCACTGGTGGGCCATCGATCCTAACCCTCATTTTACACATGGGGAAACTGAGGCCCCCGAGAAGGCCTCATGCTTATATTAGTGACAGCAGGGATTTGAACCCAGCACCTTTGACTTTGAATTGGCCATTCCCACAGACCCACAGCTGCTTCTTCTGACCCAAGTCTGGGAGGGGGTTGAGACACAAATTGACAGGACTCTGACATACAGTGTTATGATGAGGGGCCGGCACCCCGGCTCTCTGCCTCACCCTCCTCCCTTCCCTGCTGCATCTGGGAAGCCTTCCTGGAGGAGGAGTCGGCAGTCTAGGCCCAGGGAACAAGCTGGGGCACTCCCAGCGGCTGAGCACGTCCTGACCTCTCCAGGGCAGGCAGTGGGGAGCCAGGGAAGGTGACTGAGCAGAGGAGTGGCTCATTTCACAAATTGCAAGAAACTGAGGCCCAGAGAGGGAAAGTGACTTGAGACCTCCCTACTGTATTTTTTGTGTCTTTGTAGGCCCTGGATAAAGTCACTGTCCCCGTGGGGGGGGGGGGCGCGGGGAACGTGTGGTGGCCCCCTGGGCTGGGTGTAGAGCAGGGGTCACTTGTCACATGATGTCCCTGACCTGTGGTGTTCCCTCCCTGCCCCAGGGCCAGTGGTGTCCTTCAGGGGCCGCAGCCTGCATGGAGAAGAGGTGACACTGCCCTCCGGCTACATGGGGCTGGTGCTTCGGGAAGAAGACAAGTCAGAGGGGCCAGAGGTCAGTGGGCATCATGGGAGCAGGGGCCAGAGGTCGGTGGGCATCTCGGGGGCAGGGGTCACAGGTCAGTGGGCATCTCGGGGGCGGGAGCCAAAGGTCAGTGGGCATCTTGGCGGGGGCCACAGGTCAGTGGGCATTGTGAGGGTGGGGGTTGGGGGAGCAGGATCTGATGCTCCATCCCAGCGTTACAGGTCGTTCCTTATTGACTCAGGATCGGACCGTCCAGGCCATCGGTACCTTCAGCAGCTTTACCCTTTGGGGCCTGGAGAATCTCCCAGGGCCAGATGCCAGGATGCACGGAGCCCTGAACTGGCCCAGCCTGGCCACTGCTGTGAGTGTCCTAGCTCAGGGACGCCCAGCCCCTTCTCCGTGGGCCCTCTTCTATGCCCCCACCCAATGCCCATCCACCTGAGGAGACCCTAGATAGCAGTGTCTGGCCTGGGGCGGCATCCCCCAATTCAGACAAGTTTCCGGAACGCCCGTTAGCCCTCTGTGGCCTGGACTGGGGGCAGCGGCATCCGTGCAGCGAGCCACTGGCCGCCAGGGCTTTCCTGTCCTCTCTCCAGGCTCAAGCCCAGGGGTCTCCTGCAGCCCTGCCCCCACATCCGTCCTGGGTAGTGGCACCAGACCTGGGCCTGCAGCTCTTGTCTATCCCCTACAGATCCATGCACCTGTGGCTGAGGATGACTGAAGAAAGAGCTGGAGCCCGAACTTGGTGTCCATCTACACCCCACCCCCCAATAAAATTCAGTTTGGAAATTGTGTGTGCATGTGGCATCTCCCCATTCCTGGCTCCAAGGAGACCGGGGTCTGTAGAAACAGTTTATTGCCAATGGAACAAGGAAGGAGCGTCCCAGGCCGTGCCCTCCTGCAGCCCCTCTGGCTCACGCTTTACAAAAAACAACTGTACACTGCCCGCCCAGCCCCCTGTACAAAGCCCCCCGCCCAGCCCGCCCTCCCCCCATCACTATACATAGCTGCCCAGCTTTCTGTACACGTGGGCCTGAGCCCCAGCAGCCCCTAGGTGGGCAGTCTCTAGCCCCCCATCTCTTCCTCTTCCCATGTCAGTGGCTCACATGCCCAAGGCTGAGCTGAGCCCGGAGAAGGCCCGCCCTGGCCAGGGTCCTTTTCGGTCCAGCGCAAGCGGCAGAAGAGGCCCAGCGGCCATGGGGTGTGGAGAGGAGGTCACCACTTTCCCCGTTTGCTCCAGTCCTTGGGGGTGAAGTGTAGACATTTGGAGTCGATGCGCAAAAGCCGCTTCAGCATGGCCCGCTCGTGGCCGTCCACGATGTCCTCTGACAGCGTCAGGATGTACTGGCCCTTGGGGAGGGAAAGAGTCAGGTCAAGTCAACTGGGACTCAAGGAAGGGCAAAGTCAGCAAAAGAGTAAACGACATATGTCAGAGGAACTCTGGGGAAAGAAGCCCACTGAGGCACAGCTGTGAGCCGGCCCCATGGCTCTGGAGAGCATGTAGGACGAGGCCCAGAAAGTCACTGAAAACACATGTATGTGCCCTTTGACCTGGCTGTACCACTCCTAGGCCCAGCGGGCCAGGACCCCATGTTTACAGCTGCCCTCCTCGGGGGCAAAGCATCTATCCCCCCGGGGAAGGGGCTGAACAGGTCACGGGACAGGAAGCGACGTCTGGGGGTGGCCTCGGCGACACCCAAAACCACCCGATTCTCAACCACCAGTCGGGAGACGCCACCTCGGACGTGGCCAGCGGTGGGGGAAGGAGAGCGAAGACACGCTGGTGGAGGAGCTGGTACCCTTCCAGCAGGCTCTGGTCACCCGCCCCCGGAGCAGCCTCGGCATCCCCAGAGGAGTGAGCCCGCCCTCCTACCTTGTAGTAGTTGATGAGATTGAGGTACTGCAGGGTGGAGATGACGTCTTCCTTCTTGATGCTGGTGATCTCGCTGATCTCACTGTGGGGCATGGGCACGGGGGTCACGAGCCAGCCTGGCTTCCCCCACCCCCACCCCGCACCCGCCCAGGGACGGGACTCACTTGATCGTGATCTGGGGCCGCTCGCCGCTCTCCGACTTGAGTCCCATGAGAATCTCCAGGATGGTCTGTGACCAGTAGCTCCGATAGGAGAGGAGGCCGAGGTCCGAGAGGGGCTTCTCGGGGGTCCCCGTCTTCCCTTCCACCTTAGACAGCTCATAGCCTGGAGGGAAAGCGGACAGAGAAGTCAGGGGAAGACTCTTCTTCGTCTACAGCCCCCCCGGCACTGGACACTCGAAAGCTCCCCGGAAATGAGGGACACTTGGCAAGGGTCTGCGGTGCCGAGGCTGCCAGGATGGACGCCTGGGCTCTGAAGTGCCTTCATGTGACCCCCTAGTTTTACAGAGGAGGTCACAGCTCCTTCTGGGGACCCCCCCCAGGAAAGCAGGGACTTCAGGTGTGAGGAATGGCCGGCTGCTTCTGAGACCTTCCGGAGGGCACAGAGAGGGGCTGTGTCCCCCTCGTTCAAGATGCCGGCCCTGAACTAGTGCATAACGGAGCAGACCAGCTTCTCCTTACACCTGCATTTCCCGTCTACCTCAGCTCTCAGAGAAAGAACAGACGTGGCACCGCCCCTCCCCCAAAAGGAGCAAGTTCCTGCCGCCTGCCAGGCCTAGGCTGGCCCAGCACTGGCCCAGACGTCCTTTTCGTATACACTGACCCCACTCTCAACTTCCACAGCCCTCCTGAGGAAGCCCATTTCCCACAGTTCCAAGAGTCAGGCAGTTTTTCCTTCTATCGTCTGAGCCAAAATCTGTCTCCTGCACCTTCCTTGGGCGGCTCTTGGCTCTGCTTTCTGGGGACCCCACTCCCACAGGAGAACCCCTCAAACACTGGAAGGTGCTGTCCTGTTTACTCAAGGCTAATGTACTAGGAGGTGGCAGCATAGTCCCAGGACAGTTCCAAAGGCCAGCGGAACAGCAGCTGTGACCCGAGTCTGGCCAGCCTGGGGAGGTGGTGCACTCTGGTGCAGGTGAGGGGCCTTCCAAAGGCTTGCTTCAGCAGCAGGTAAAGTGCCTCTACCTGATTCCAGCTCTAACAAGAATGGGGTGCAGGCAAGAGGAAGGAGAACACTGGGGAGCGGGAGGGTACCTGAGATGTGGGCAATGCCAAGTGTGCCCACCTGCCAGGCCTGAGCCACAAGAGCTGGCTGGGGGGGGCGGGAGTCTGTGCCAGGCTTCTCCCACTGAAGGGGGCCTTTGGCGGCTGGAACCTACATTCTTGGGGAGGGGAGCCTTCAGGCCATCCTTAGGAGGACGGTCAGGAAGGACCACAAAGTGCTTTGAAAAGAAAAAAAATCAAAGTACTTTCAGAAATACAAGCCCTGTGGGAAGAAGGAATTGGGGGGGGCGGCACTTGAAACCCTCTGGCCAACTACAATTTAGGAAGAAGAGGGAAATCCTGAGAAAGAGAAGGCCTGTCTCCATCCAAAATAGACCACCCTCCCTCACGTCTGGGGCACAGATCAGGGCCCTCGTCACAGCACTCTAGGGGCCTCTCCCCAGCAGTCTGACACTGCCCACAGCCAGTGCCTGGGGCATCTTTACCTACGGAAGACAGCCAGGGAGGTGCAGTGAGCCACCCTGTCTCTGGGGCTTTCCCTTCCTCCCCCCAGGCCGTTTATTCTGGGTCACGCCAAGCCCTTTCCAAGGCCTCTCATACACCTGCCCCCCGGCCACCACCCACCATCCAGCCATCCTGGGGTTGGGGGGAACATGGATTTGGGGAAAACAAAGCTGGGAACGACATGGGAACACAATGTTAGCGCTCTCAGCTGCCAAATTCAGTGACTTCTGTCTCCTGGCTGGATACTCCTCCAGATCCTGCCCTCTAACCATTGGGGTCCCTCATGGCTGGCCTGGCCCCCTTCTAGGCTACTTCACCTGGCGGCCTCATTAGCTCCCGTGGGTTTAATGGCCGTCTCTAGGCTGAGGATTCTCACATCTGCCTTTCCTGCCCCAACCACCACTCTGCTGACCTCCCACGCCCTTTAAGACATCTCGGCCTGGACGGCCAGTAAACATCTCATACTCAACGTGTCCAAGACAGAACTTCCCCCCAGGGCCCTCTCCTGCTACCTTCCTATTAGACGGAGGGCACTGCCATCCTCCCAGACCTCAGACTCCCACCCCCAGAGTCAGCCTGGATGCCTCACCATCTCTCATCTACCACGTCCAGGCTGCTGCCCATCTCTCCAACGTGCCCCCTTCTGACCCAGCCTCTACCCTGGTGCAGACCCTCGTCCCCTCACACCTGGACTATTGCAGGAGCTGCCGGCAGAGGGGGTGGGGGGGGCCTGCCTGCCTCAAGCTTCTCCCCACTCCAGTCCATCCTCCATTCAGCCACCGAAGAGATTTTCCTCAAGCCCAGGTCTGATCCTGTCACCCCCTACTCAACAGAATTCTCTGTTTGGCCTTCACAGCCCTCCATAACCTGGTCCCCTCCCACTTTCCAGTCTTCTGACCCTTTACTGTACTCTTCTATCTGGTGACCCCGGCCTCCTGCTGCCTCCCTCTCTCTACCCTAAGCCCTATCTCTGGCCATCCCCCAAACCTGGACAGGATAAGACCCAACTAAAGCCCACCTCCTCCAGGAAGCCTTCCTCAGCCCTCTCACTTCCAGGGCCTTCCCTCTCCTTTCCTATTTACCCTGCACAGATCTTGCTGGGATGGATGCTGGTGCATAGACATCTGCATGTTGTCTCCTATTAGACTGGGAGCTCCTTGAGGACAGGGGCTCTCTTCTACCTTTCTTTGTATTCCCAGTGCTTGGCACACAGTAGGCGCTTACTAAATGCTGAGGGATCACTTTGTATCATTATCCCATTTTCTCTGTCCATGCTGTTTCCCCTCAATAGAATGCAAGCTTCTTGAGGGCAGGGACTGTGCCTCCAGTGCCCAGCACACAGCAGGCATTCAGAAAACATCCGGGGAGTGAAGCAATGACAGAAGGAACAGAACCTGGTCTCAAGCCCAGGCCCTTTCATTTCCCAGCTAGTGCTGCACTGTGTGATACTGCCCCGCCCACAGTGACCTCCTGCGGACAAGGGGAATAAAGGGGCTTCTGGGTGAGGAGTCATCCCAGAAATCCCTGACAGGTGGGACCCCCAGCACCGCCTGTGGAGGGGGCCTGCTGCACTCAGCGCGGCCCACAATGGCCTCTTCCCAACACGCATGCACAGCCCCCCGGGGCCTCCCAACACAGCAGGCAGGCCTTTGAATACTGGAAGACTCGTCCCCCCAAATCTCCGCTTCTCTAATGCCCTGGTTCTAGATTCCAGGCCCTTCATCATCCTGGCTGCCCCACTTTGGACACTCCACCTTCACATCCTTCTTAAACGGGGACCCCAAGAAATAAACCTAAGCCTCCAGACATCTGACCAGGGCCCAGGACAGAGGGACCATCGCTGGCCTCGTCCTGGAGGCCAGGCATCTTGTAGCGCGGCTTCCTCGGCAGCCCCATCTCAAGGCTGACGCCTCCAGAGCTCACAGTCACGAAGGACCCCGCCCCCAACACACACACCTTACACTCATGAGAATGATGGTTTAAATCTAGCTGCAAGACCCGATGTTCGTCCCTACTGAATTCTGTCTGATGATATTTTGCCCAACTCCGGCCTCTCCTCTGGGGCCCTGACTCTGTCCTCCAGGGTGAGAACTCTCTGAGTTCCGTGTTGTCTGCAGGCCACCTATGCCGTGATCCAAGACACCGAGAAAAACACTGACCAGCACAGAGTCAAGTTCAGATCCCTGGGGCCC